CTTGCTATCTTACGCGTAACTTTGACGACTATTTGTACACAATTACGTAATGCCCCGTAACGGTGTTATTGATAAAAGCGAATGCGCGTGGAAAATTTCTAACGGCACCTTAGCGGAGAATATTAAAAAATATTATTGATAACTCACAGAGACGAAGTCGAATACAAGAAACTTTTACGTAAGCTGTTTTCGTTACTCGTTATTTTGCGAATTCGTATTTTAATGATGCCATTCTTTGTATACGTAATGCCAGATTCGGGTAGTCTTTATTTCGAAGTTGTTACAACCTGATTTTCAACCTATTTACGTCTGCTTTCCTACTCGAAAATCATTATCGGATTTCTAGCTACGTATTAATCACGAAGCTACACACTTGGACTGTTTTGCTGTCCGCCTCAAAGGTGGTTAATGAAGCAGATCTTCGTCCACACGATCGGTTGCTTTCATACATGGTTCCCTAGCAACTTTATCGATCTTCGGAGAAAAATGTCTCTTTGAAATTACGACGTGAAATAAGGGACGTACGGTAAATGCAAGGAGTATCTGCACTCTCACAACAAATATACGAGAAAGACAAAAAAGATTGCAGTGAAGAAAAATAAATTACGTAAAAATTCAGTGCCATTCAAAGTCACTGTTGATATTTCAACTTTAACCAAATCTCTAAGTTACTGTAAAAAATAGTATTCATGAATAATAATCAGAAGTAAAAAATATCGCTGCAAAGATGAATAATGAGTCACAAAAGAATTCTCATACAAGCTACCAATTTCCTCGCCGCAATACCAAACTTCTGGCGAGCAGTTGGGATTCCCTAAATCATCCTAATTACTCATTATATGGACAGGGCAGGTTTTTGCGTTCATTCGAGGCAAATCTGCCAAAATCGTGAATTTCGAAAACACGAGACTGTCTCCCTCTATTGATCCTCAGGATGGGGAGGGAAGGAAGACACAACGAACCCGCGAAATTGACTAAAGTTCGGGCGGCCTATTTACCGGGTGACCTTGCACTTGACGAAGAATATCCACGCGGCTATATCCGCGCGATGACGGCACCGATGATGCCGAGGAGCGAGCACAACCGACGACCGGAGACTTTCGTTTTCGTTCTCTGTCGCGTCGTGCTGTGCTCTTCGTAGAGTCCTTGACTGTGGCTACTCCGATAACGCTACTAGCGTAGTAAACCGTCTTATCGCTTTCATGCATTCGTCGCTATCGTTCCCGGCTCGCATCTGAGAGGTGAGTCACTAGGAGTTCGCCGTCGTTTCCGTACCATTCGCGATGAGCTTCGCACGATCGACAGCTCAGAACTCACGTTTTGGGCCTATCGGTTTGGACCACACACCCCTTTACACCGCTCGAAAGATTTATATGATTATCAGCCATTATGTTTCTCAATACCGCGTATTTAAATCTCAGAAATTTTGTTATGGAATCGAACTTATTCCTATGGGACAGGAACAGAGACATTTACCAGCCAATAACTGGCTTAGCACGCAAATGTCTTGGCCTTTTGATGGACGGACCATAGATATTGGGGTATTAACTTAGAGCTATGAACATTTGTTCCGTTTCCTTGAATTATATGAACGAATAGGAAATGGTAGCAATCTTCTAATCGTTTTGAGAAACGTACAACTCAGACCTATTGAAAGCTCGTAGTCTTTACGATTTGTTGAAGGTCATAAACGTAAAAAATATAGCAGAACTACCCCTAGACCCTATAATCTATAAGCACTGTAGATCGATGTCGTGAAGAAAAGGAAAAACCTGCCTTCTTTTAAGAATACATTCTACTGTTAGTTTTAAGGGTATGAGGGACAGAGACAGGCAACCTGACTGGTTGTCGAATGGAAGGATGCCAGTGTGAATTTCATAGTCGAAAATCTTAAAACAGTGTGCAACAATCTTACAGTTAACGACTGTGAATCCAAGCATAGCTAGACATTTTATATACTCAGTTAAATACATATTATTTTATGCTATACGTGACCAGCCTTAGTTCACTAATTATAAAACCCATTCAAATCTTGCATTATGGTCGGCGAAACAACGCCGAGCAAAGACGGACGACCTTGCGTACAGAGGCGTTCTCGGAACGAATCGGTGCATCGGCAAATTGGGCGACCGCGGCACATCTGGCCCCCGGGTCCGTCAACTCGTCCGAAAAACTTGTTTTTCGACTGCGTAGACTCGCCACCGTATTCAGCTCGTGACTTTTTATCGAACGTTCAATGAATCACGCGTCCCGTTCACGCTCTGAGCTATTAGCGCTAATAACGTATATTTTATGAACGAAGGGGGGATTAATCTGAGACGGTACGATCGATGGTGTGCCGGGTGTCAGCTGCGAATCGAAGAAGTATATACACCCGATAATAATTTACTAACGCCTGTAAACCTTCTTGTCTTCTATGCTATTCGTTAGACGTCCGGTTATCGCGTACAATATCTACAATCGGACCTTAATTGATTTTCATCTTGTGTGAAGAATGATAAGAAGATCAAACGACGATCCGTGTATACACAGAAAGGGTCAATATACAGGGTGGACCACAAAACGCCATCGCCTTAGATTGTTCTACTGCTAGCTGTTCAATCGAAAATATCTTGGCTAATATAACATGATTGAAGGAAAATTTAAAAATGATTGTACCAAATTTTTAGTAAACCTCCTTTTTCCAGAGTTTTCAAGGTCACCTTCAGTTTTTTTTAGATAAACTTATAATTTGTTTGCATCCATCTTTAAGCGGATACAGAGACGAATTCGGAAATATCATAAGAAATAATTTTTTTATTCTGAAATACTATAGATTTATCTATAAAAAAATCTCAAAGTGACCTTGAGAATTCTGGAAGTAAAGGGTTGACAAAAAAATTGAGTACACTCATCTTAACGCTCTCCTCGAATCATGTTATATTAGTAAACAAAAATTTCAATCGAACAGATAGCAGTAGAATAATCTAAGCTGATAACGTTTCGTGGTCCACCCTGCATAACTAATCAAGTACAACAAAAAACAATTTTGCTCGAAAAAGTACAGAGAAAAGAACCGTAAACGAATACAATACCTAGATGGATCTCATCAGCGATTTATTTAGAAGAAATTATATATTCTTTTCCACAGGCGTGTATGCTGAAATTGAAAGTTAGCGTATCGCAGCCGGACGACACTGCTGCTGTTGCATCTCGAAAGTGCAGGGGCCAGAGACACAATAACTCGCGCGAACGAATGACGCACGACCGTACGCAGACTTTTAATCCTTCTCTTCGACCGAGCCATTGTTCGATGATGGAAAAAGAAGACACTAGACGCGTGCCGGTTCTAGCCAATTACGAAACGTCCGTTTATCTATTATTTACTCCGCTGTCCCACACCCTGATCGGCCTCGAATCGCCTCGCACCTGACGCTGAGACGATTAAACGACGGTTTTGCTCGCGACGCTTCTCGAAGCCTGCTCCGAGAATGAGAACGCGACCGTGCGTGCGCGCAGCCCGGAATCGCGAGAGCGTTTGCTAATGGAACCATTTAAATGGCCGACGCCGGGCAATTTATTTGCATCGCGCGTGGCCCGCCGTGGGCGTCGATCGAGGAAACCGCGTGCCTTGGATCTCAAAGCATCATCATAGTCGACGCTATCTTTCTTTCATTTTCTCTTTCTCAGCAACTTCTCAAGGCGGGACAACCTAACTCGATCAAACGACGCATGACGTCGCGGCATGATTACTAAGAAGTGTATACCCCGGAAGAAAGAGGCTTCGACTTCCGTGGCGAGGCCTGGCCACTCCTAAAGAGTGGTTCAGTCGTGGTCACAAATCATAGAAGGGGAATCGAGTTAACTGAACGCGCGCGGTTGATACACAAACCTCTGAACGGTGTTAAACAGATTCCGGTGGGTCAGAAAAATTGGGTGGCCTTCGGAATACGACCGCGGGCCAACGACTCTTAAATAATACGACGGACGCAAACATTGCTGGCTCTGAATATTTAACAGGGGACCCCGGTGTATACGAGGCTCCCGTAACAGGATGGCTGATGTTTACGTTGACAAACACTTATATTATCGACGCTTTTCTTTCTCTGTTCCGTAAGCCCCACCTTCCGCTCTATCCCTCTCACTCTGTTTCTCGAAAGCAAAATACTTGAGGAGAATTAATTATGCAAGCGTCGTTCCGCGATCAAGCCCGCCCATTCAGCCCGATAGATGGAAGACCTCTGGCGGTGTTCTACGACAGGATTCTCGCGCGTCACACGCACGCGACGATATTAAGAATGACACTAAAAGATCGTAGAAGGGATCATTTCCTTCGTAATATATTGACCCGAGTGGATACACGCGCGTTCTTATGCTCCTAATTGGAGATACTCTTCCGACACACACGACGCGAGAGGTTTCCGTACACGGTTCTCAGAGAGGTATCGTGTTACGAAAAGGTATATGCCAAGTACACTTGCAGGGTATCCCTCTGCTGGCCGGCAAAGCGAGACTTTGTCCGCGAACCGCCTCGAGAAACGGTCTCGTAGTTCTCCCCACGGGTGATTCTAGAAAAACTCGTCCGTCCGTCTTATAGCTTGTGGAGGAGGGAATATTTTTGCGACCGAGCACATCAGCCTCGTCAACTCCCCTCGAGTCGAAACGAATTGTTCGTCGAAGCTGCGAGAACCTTCGATCTTATTGATAGGACACAAATAAGCCGTTCGGTTCGTGTTAATCGGACCCATGATGTTGACGACCTTAACAAGAGAGAGAGATAGAGAGAGAGAGAGAGAGAGAGAGAGAGAGAGAGAGAGAGAGAGAGAAGAGAGAGTTCTCGCGCGGGACCGAGAGAGGAACCTAGACGCCTAGCGCCTCTTTGTGTCGCGAATGAGATATGCGTGCCGCGGCGGCCATGGGCGAAGAGGAGGAGAAGGGCGTATGAAACATGCACACACAGGGCTGGAGGGGGATCACGGGTGTGTGTAGGGTGGTGTAAAGACTCTATATTGATCACTGACCTTTCCTGCGGCCGAATGGTCCGAAGAACGTGCCGTTCTTGCCGATGACGTTATCCTCGATGTACTTGAGCAGTTTCGTGGTATCCTCCCCTTTTTTAGCGGCGATCGACCTGACGGGACGCGGCGGCCCGATCCTCTGGCTGGACACCGTCCCCGGGATGAGGGTATTCGTTGTGGCGGCCGTCGTTGACGTTACACCGCCGCCTTGTTGTATAGACAAACAACTGGCACTACCGGCTACGATGCAGGTAGTCTCCTCCGCCAGAGAGTTGATCCTCCGCTGCGATCCACTCCAGCCCTTGCCACACGAGATCTTCACCGAGCAGCTCATTCTCTCATAGTAATCGCGATACTCTCAGTGTGCATAGTAGGGAAGACCTAGAAGCGATTGCGATCGCGGTAACGCGCACGACGATCGTAGCATGTACACCGAGCGATACAGGCGGAACGCGCACCGATTCTGTTCTCTCTTGTTCGATCAGAAACTTGTCACTTGTACGAATAACATCGTCCGAACGCGATAAGAAACAAAGAAAATAGTACGTACCGGTTCCTTTCTGCTACAATTTTTTCGTACCACTGATCAAACACGTGTTTCTCGCTCGGACGTTAATTGGAACGGCGTACGCGAGGATTCGCGTATATACACACAGAGCTCACAGTACGTACGTGGGTACGTACAGGCCGCGGCGTTACTGGTTAAAGAAAAACGCGCGGATCGCGTGCTAATCGGCCGTACAAACGACAGAGAGATATGGAGAGTGAGCTAAGATCTCCTTCACCTCTGTTGGCACCTTTCTTTGTCGTACGTTTTTTTTTTCTTTTTCTTCGGCCTACATGGGCAGTCCTCGATCGATCTGTACGATCCTCGTTCGTCGCTCAACGGGGAAAAAATTATGTGTTTGTCGCGCACTTCAGATTCCCCACTTTGCTCTCGTTCGATCCCGTTCTGTCGAGCTTCGAACTGATAAGCGCGACGATAGCCGACTCCCTCAATGTCCGACTACTTCCGTGATACTACTTGGCCGAGCAACGTGCGCCGTGTGATACAACCTCCTTCGACGTTGAGGCGAGACTGAATGTCTAGCGGACGGGCTGCCCGGTTCACCAATGACGTCACATGGCCACGCAGGCGCCGTCGAGTCTCGCTAACGCTTCGGGGCATCTTCTCTGGGTCGGCCGTGCCGCGGTGCCCGCGAAAACCAGCTCGCTCACGCATGCGCGATTTTCCGCGATTTTCTTCGCGGATTCGTTTTACGTCGCGCGTAAAATTCTACTGTTGTTTCCTTGTCGTGACGTACTTCGCTAATGGCATATCTGCCGTAGTTAGAGCGATCGAATCCGATAAGTTCTGCGATTTTTCTTGCTTCGAATGCGTGTATTTGACTCTGTTTCGCTGTAGGTTGGAAATGGGTGGAGATGAAACGATGTGAGAGTGATTTTTGTAAGAAGTTTTATTCAATTTCTTACGCAATCAGCTCTGTTTCTTTCGTTTTTCAAGTGTACTTATGCTACATGGAGAGTTAGTCATTGAGTGTAATTTTAAAATTATTCGCGTATTATATAGCAGGAAGAATTTATGTAGATATTGCAGAAGGTTATTTTTGCGACGGATGTAATACTTAGAGAGTGCTTCGGAACTCATTGGCTGTACATTGCTAGCATATTCTACTAATTATACGGATGGGGATACGTATGTCACGCGGAGTTGAGTGTAGAAATGCATCTCTTGCGAGTTTCTAAGATTACTAGCTGTGTATTAATGTAAAGATAACAAGGTATGACAGAACTGTCAGTCGTGTAAACATTATTTGACATAGCTCGGTGGTGGTAAGTAAATAATCGGTTAAACACTGACCTGTATGGAAAGTAAGTGTTGTAATATAGTTGGAGGTTTTCACATGTATGCATTAATAATTCAAAGAATGGTATTCATATAACTCGAAAAGTTACGAATACACGAATTTTTTTGCATAATTTACGTTCATTAATATTCTTAAGGCTAAATGAATTTCATTGAAAGTAAGCAAAGATATACAAGTTAAGATAAACTACGTTATTTTACAAAAATACATTTATCTAAAAAAAGAAACAAAAACTATTTAAGAGCATATTATCAAAATTTGAAGGATAATTAATTCGGGACACCAATGTACTTCCGGTCGAATTACATGGAAATATTATACATCATTATGACTTAATAGTCGGATTATGAATTATTCAAAATCTGATGCAGTTCGCAACACGTAAATAGTAGGTATACGTATACATTCTTGCATCCCATTCCGATGGTTTTCAGAGGAAAAAATTAGGTGACTAGGCTGATGTGTGTTATTTAAAATTAACCGACTGACAGATGTGTTTATTCGAATAAACAAATATTTTAATCAGGTAAGTTCTGATGATTTTGCTTCTTCAGTGATTTTATAAATAAAGCCAAAGAAAGTGGAAATAACATCCTCGACTCTCGCGAAGTCAATGGTCCTCCAAGGTCCACGAGTCATATTTAATCCTCCGAGAGTTACCTTTCTACAAAAGCAGGACCTTCGTAAACCTTTGATCTTAAATCTTGGCCCCTAATGCCTTCTGTTGTTGGCAGATTTACTACACCGTTATACTTCATTTTTCTCATTTTAATACTTGTAGGCCTACTGGTACTTTCACGGCCCTTTTTTTCCTTTTTATACTCACGTATCCCTTTCCCGCGATTGGCAGACGTTATTTCCCCTCCGCGTGTACTACCTTTTTAGTGATCTCGACTGGCAATCGGCAGCCATATGGCCAGATACGACGTGAATGTAGGTCACGCGGAGGCACGTGTGTGTTCTCTCGCTAGGTAAAAGACAATTACGATTATTATCCGTCGGCTTGGCACATCGACGACACCGAGACGCTCTAAAAAAGAAACACTTCACGACACCCGTTCAGATCTGTTCTCATTGTTTCCAACGCAGTCCTCTATTCGCACTTAGCTTCACGTAACGCCGCGTACAAAAGGTAGAAACGTTCCACGGCGACTACCAGCTGAAAGACTGGCTGTCCTTAAATTTTCTTCTACCCGGATAACGATCGTAATTGTCGAGAGTGATTAACAGGAAACCCAACTATCGGACGGTAATAAACGTTCCGTGTTTCTTTTTTTCATTTCCTTTTTTTGTTAGTTACGTCTCCGCAATTAAGTATCAGTGAAAACTCTCGCGACTAGTCGCCTTTCTTTTTGTGCTTTCCAGGAATAGGTATACGCGGACAGGTAAATCCACGGGGCGAATAAAGAAGCGATACAAATTGCCAGGTGTCGTCGTCGGATCGATAGACGGGGAAACGAGACGGATTACTTCCTTAAAATCTATCCAGTGCACACACATGCACAGACACAGTATACATAATATTTCCGTTCCATCGTGTGTCCCAGTCTAGAAGCCTTAAAAAAGCTTTCGAAGCTTTCGCGACGATTAGATTTCGAGCTTCCCCGTGATTTCCAACGAACTGCTTGACTCCTGGGATATTTAATACAACTGTCGCGGTATACAGACTCGTCTCGATTATTGTCCCGAACTCGGGTACGCGTCGGGACAATAATAGAATGGGGAGAAATGCTTCAGACCCCCGTAAATTCATTTTTTGCCTGAAACCTGAGCCACGGCAGCAAAGTATGCGCTTGACAGATTCCAGGGCCTCCCCTCCCCAATGGTGAGGTTAACGCCTAGACAATAATCGTGTAGAACAAGCCAGACGATAATCGAGAGGAGTCTGAACACATGAGGCCACGCGTGCCAGCGCACCCGTTCTCATTGCCGACTTCTCATTGTTAGGAAGGAAACAAAAAAACACAAAAAACGAAGACGTTTTCTCCGAGGACTGACTCAACGCGCGTACAATCGCGGTGCAACAAAGAAATCGGGGAAGAATAATAAATCCGTGTCGTGCCTCCTTCTATTCTCCCCCGTTTCGATTCAGCGATCTCGCCAGACACTACAATTACACGATCAATATACGCGTCCAGACCCGATAAACACGAGAAATCCGTGTAGTCGCGAGCCGTGCATAATGACATGACTTTCGCCGGAATCAACAGATAGCGGCGGCGGCGCACGCGTGTTTACGCCTTCGACAGCTGTTCTTCACGTGACACAGTCATGGAAAATGTCCTGTTCGCCGCGCGCGGCTGAATAATCGTCGGTTGGAATATGTGTCGAATAGACGGTGACCTCATCGTGACAACCGGGAAAGGACGAATTTTACAGAAAGGAAACGGATTAATCACAGATCGGTAATCGTGGAATGAACGATATGCTATGACCCAAGTGTCGAATCACCAAATTTGGTAGTTCTCGGAGCGTTGCCTTTTCTCGTTGTTTTCTATAAATAATATTGCTGTGTGGGCTATATTGGAAATTGGAACAGAATAACTGTTGACTTTCGGTTGGTAAATCGATTGAACAGTAGACGCTACGACAGCTTTCCGTGTGTGTACTATGGCAGGGTAGGTAGGTACACTCAGGAGCAAACTCGACTTCCGTTAGGGGAAAAAGTGAGATAGGAGAAAAGCCTAAATCTACCACTTGGTAAATTTATTTCAAGCACTGAAATAAATGTTAAATCGAATGTCAATTTGGCATAAATTTCAATAATTCCCGATACCAAATTGTAGGAGCCAAGGACTTAATACCGAAATAATTTTGATACCGGTATTATGCCAGTAAAGGTATACCGAAACCGATATATTACCGAAAACCGAAATAAATACCGGTATTTTTTCGGTTTTTCTATCGTATACATGGCAGGGTCTATTTTCATATACCGATATTTTCGTATTTCGGTTTCTATAAGGGTTACGAAGGTACAATCGAAAAATACCGTTATAATAAGTCCCTGGTAGGAGCCCCTTACTCTTACGCCGCTTTTTCCCCTAGTGGAAGCCGAGTTTGCTCGTGGGTGTACGTGTACCGAAGTTTACGATTCGCCGTGGCGTTTATCGCCCAAACACTCCATGGTAACGAATTCCACTCGATCCTCGCGGCCAAGCTCGGCACAAGCCCCCGGTCACGTTTGTTTTTAACACGAATCGAGTTTTTGGCACGATGCTGAAGTTCCAGACCGCGACCAAGGAGGACCTGAAGCTCGCCGCGTCCATTCAACGGCGCAGGCAGATCGAGGCGGAGAGAAAACAACGGATATTCAATCCACGTTTCCGGAAAATCGGGGTGAGCGCCAAAGGCACACACAGCGGTTTATTTCCAACTGGACGGAGCTAGTTAACCTGTTTATAGATTTATCGCGGGTTCGAGATACACGTACCACGGCACGCGATCGAACGACTTTATCGTGCTCGTTGATCTAGGCGTCGTGATTTTTGCTCCTCCCCACCTTCTCCGTACTGTCCGCAGGTAGACAAGGAATCCTTGGACAAACAGGTCGAGGAAAAGAAGCAGCAACGGCAGCTGGAACAGGCTCGGGAATCCCAGCTCGACGAGAATTTGGTTCGGAGCAGTCACGTCGCCTTGCTACTCGAGAAGCAACAGCATGAGGTAAAAGAAAACACGGATGAATAATCCGTCTTTCATAGAGTGTCGTCGTACGAAGAGTCAGGACAGGGTATCGTTTCAACGATATCTCGTCGCCCTCATTGTTCCACGACACGCGGTGTTTCGCTACGAAAATAAAATTAGTCACGCTACCGCTAAACTAACCAAGGAGTTATTTCATATTCCTCGCGTTGATCTCGCAGGAGAGACGGAAGATCAATCTCGAGATCGAAGATTTTCGTCGGCACTACCAGCGCACAGAGGACCGACGAGATTACGATCTCTACGACCCGCAGGCATTGAAAAAATCGCTTCCAATACGGCTCGGGGATGACGATCCGCGGTTCGGTTTGGGCTGCGCGCAAAAGTAAATATTGTCGTCGGCAATTTCCTCCCTCCGAAAATTCTCTAACCCCCCTGTCCGGGTTGAAGAACGATATTAAATATTTGTTTTGGGGGAACCTATATGCAGATTCGAGGGCGAGATGGGCGAGTCGAAGGAACGTTTACGGGCGCAAAAGGAGGAGAGACGGTACTGGATTGAGAAGCAAAAGGAGGAACGTGTGCAGGCCGAGAGAGATTGCCAGGAAGCCGAGAAAGCGTACCAGGAAGCCGTCATCTCCAGGGACAAGCGTGCCATGGCGTTAGATCAGATGGAACGTGAATGCCGTCGAAGGTTGAACGAAGCCACCGCAAGATTCAATCGGGCCCTGGTAAGGCTTTCTCCTATTTAGTCCTTCGTTGGACCGACGAAGAAAACAAAGCGCGACAGGAACTCGCGGGATAGATAAGAATCTTATTATCTGACGATTCTATTTTGCTTCCCCAAGAGAGGGGGGAGAACCTCGTTCCCGCCCTGCGGGAGTCGTGATCCGGCCGTTTCGTTCCTGTTTCCGCTGTAGCGTTGCGATATTCACGGACGGCGAGAAAGTGAGAATTTATATAATTAACGCCTCGATGGCCCTCCATCGCATTAATTGATTTAAAGTACTCTCTCGTTGAATCTCGCGAGCGACTACCAGCCGTGAAATGTCAGGGTTCAACGGCGGCAGGGATCTCGACGTTCTCGATATGCTTTCTGCTTCGGTGATGAATGCCCACGGTTGTCCCCTTTTTCATTTTCGACTGGCGGTTTCAGTTCTGATTTTCTACCGAGTACGGTCTGTAGAGGTCGATCAGTTCTCTGGGAGTCCTAGATCTCCAACGTTCTGCCACTCTATCTAGCTTTGATGATAGATACCTTGAAAACGCCATATTATATTTACACAAATAACATTTGCTAGTACATGTACAATTTTCATCAATTTATCGTAGTACCCCACCTATTCAATATCCTATCGTTCAAACACCTTCCATAAAGAACAATCGCATTGCTCTAATTGCTAAGCTTTAAAAACGAAATACAAGGTCGTACATTAGACGGACTATTGATCGATAATGATGTACGAAGCGATTAAAAAGGACAATGGATCGAATTGAGAGCAAAAGGGGGCAAGGCGTACGGTTTCGAAAGTAGCTAAACGATACGGAGGTGTTAACAGTTCTGTAGATCTGTAATCAATCCACACCTTACCAATCCCCTAACTTTCGCAACACACAAAAAAAAAGTGATCACCGTATCCTCCAATTGCTAGCGAAATCTGCTCGTATCGTTACGATCGCGAGCTGCAGTTCACATAAACCTGCCTCGAAGGTGAGCACCGTTTACAGCAAGCACGAGGTTGCTACGGTCGATGAGCAAATTCGGTGACGTCACCGTGTGCCGAGTCTCGGTAATAACAGAGAGAACGATCGTCGCTCCGCTTCTCTTTCCACACGCGGTTCCCCGTCCTTGACTTTTTTTTTTCCTCTCCACGAGCTGTCACGCCTCTTTGGACGCGCTCGGGGGCTCACAGAGCTCGAATGACCGAAAGTCACTCTTTCTTTCCGTTTCTTTTCCTCCCGCGGCCGACGAGTAGGCGGATGAGCAGGAGCGTCGCCGTCACTGCGAAGCCCTTCTAGACGAGGAGGACAAGAAGGCGGAAATCTACAATCACGTGACTGGGGACTTCCTGACCGAAGCCAAGGAACAGGCGGAGAGCACTCGTGGACCGCTCAAACCGCTGGCCTCCCGTTACAAGGGCATGAATCCGGACGAGCTTAAAGCTTTCAGGGATGGCCAAGCCCGTCAGATGGAAGAAATCGAGGTAGACGCCCTGAGAACGTCCTTTTAGCTAGTTTTAATGGGTTATATGCGTTCGAACAGGGTCGAAAAATCGGTTTTCTGAAAACACATTGTTTTTTTAATGGCGATGTTTCCGGAACGTTTCTGCAAAAGTTCATGTATACATTCCCTAAAGTGACTCCTCTAAGAACGAATTACGTGTAGCCTTTGAATCTGCAAGTATTCGATGTCTGAAATGAAAAATTTCATCGAAGATTGAGATACAAATAGTTATTGTAGGAATTACTCTTCATAAAATACTGTTTTACGAATTTTTCAATACTTTGAAATCAAACTTACAAAATTCTAAATCCTGATTACGATAACTTACAGAGTTGTAGATGTGAGCAGATCTGAATGCTAAAACGTTTGTTTCCTATTAATGATTTACTATCACCCGCAAGAAATCTCAAAGGGGTGTAGCTTTCGTCGCATTGGACGCATGTAGACCCTTAAAGATTCCCTCGTGTAAGGTTGAAACGATGCAAGGCTTCGCCGTGACCCTGAAGGGGTCTTGGTGAACGAGGGGAAAATTTGGCTCGCTCAAGGAATGCTTCTTCTTTTTCTGTTGTACAGAAAATGAAATTGGAGGAAAAGCGAATGAACGAAGAATGGGACCGGTTGATGAATTCGCACGCGATCATCGCGGATTCGTACCAACGTGAAATGGACCAGAAGAGGGCGTAAGGAATTATACCGAGGACTTCATGAATCACAATATTATACTTCAAAACGATGTTTTGTTGCAGGGAGACGAATAAGAAGATTGCCGAAGAGAATTTACAACTGGCCGAGGAACATAAGTCCCATCAGGAGTATCTTAATCGAGTCCTTTACAAAAACAAACCGACAGCTGCCTTTTTCGAACAATTTAACAAGGATGCTCGTTAAGAAAATCATTTTGATAAAGTCATATTTATAATGGTCTTTGGTAATACGAATACATGTATAAGATTGAAACACATACATATTATATGTACATCATACTTTATAAACAGACTGCGGATGTTTGTGCAGATTTATATTCTCTAAATGCACTGACTGACACAAAAAATGGAATACTTCGTTTTACAGAGGATATAAGATATAATTTGTTTCGTTTTTACAATATGGGAATTAATTCGAGTGTTGTGTGCTTTCTGTCAGTCAGTGTAGATTCAGAAAACAGAAATTGGACAGAAATTTATATGTTTTATTTATAACTTTATTAGATGATTAGTTAAACATAAGAATATTCTTAATTTATAGTATTCTTTTATTTTATTGTGCGGTGCATACGGGCATCCGCAGTTTGATAATTTATAATTAATACTGCCTTTAATGCTTACGTAAAATGGTATGAATTGTTGTCGTAAATGTGAAGTAGGAATTGATAAATTAGTTATTTTAGGAGTTTTCAGTCAATATTGTACTATTTGGTATAAGTTTTACAATGTTTCATTTTGTTGCATTGCTTTAAATATACGTATTCTAATGCACTTTAAGTTTGTGCATCATTAACGACCTCTGTGCTGAATATGTGAATACCAACCGTGCATTCACATTCACTTGTATCTGTCGATAACAGCAGAACTGTTGATGTTTACGCGTCGAACGTGTGACGTGTTGTTTAAAACACGTCTAAAATCGTAAACATAAATTAAACTGACAATATGTTTTACATAATTCGCTTTCGTTCGAGATAGTAGTGTGAAGTGTAAAATTTGTTCAATGATAAAATGCTCGAAACTGAGCAGTATGAGATCCCTGAACAAGGGTTAGTTTTGAAGTTACCTATATAAATAATTTTTACTCAATAATTATATTAAACTCTTTTTCTTCTCAGCACTGATCCGAATATAATACTTAAGAAATATCATATAATTGTGGAGGATCTCAAACGTGATTTACAATTATGCAAGGTATATTTTTCATACAAAAATCCTTGTGAGCTGTTATATGCTGCTAACATTTATACTTACACAAATATTTTTACTTCAGGAAGAACAAAATAATATAAGGACTGAGTTAGAAACTCTAAGAAATGAGAGCCAAAAGATTTATGATATAAAAGAATCTTTAGACCATATTCATTTGAAAGAATGTGGTGATGAAGATTCTCATAGAAAGCAAATAGCAAATTTACAGGAACGTCTTGCACTTTTAGTGACTGAGAAAGATTCAGCTCTGCAGCTATGGCATATGTCATTAAATACCATAAGTGCTTTAGAGGAAGAATTAAGAGGACTCCGTACAAATGGAAAAGGTACAAAGTTCTATCAAGACCAAGCAAATGCAATTAAGGAAAGTTATTCTGAGGCTATCAAAATGTTAGAAGAAAAACTTACACAGGCCAAAGATAATTTTGTAAAATACCAAACACTGTATCAAACAAGCAAGGAAAGAGTTGAATGTTTAACCAAGGAAAAGGACGAAATAATGGAGAAATTTAGAAATTTCCAAATAGATGCTCAAGAAAAAGGTCAGTAATACATATTTAGAATATCCTACGATGAATGCAAACATTATTTTTATGTTTTAAAAGACAGGAATAGCCAAGTGACAATAGAGACACTAAAAATGGAATTAGCTTATGCCAAAACAGAAAGTAACAAGATAGTGCAAGCTAAATTAGAACTGGAAAAGAAACTGAATGAAGTTAAGAGATATGCTGACAATATAGTAGAAAAAGATAAGGAAACCAAGAATAAAATGGCAGAAGCCATTGAACTAATAGAATCTGCAGTTAGGGAAAAAGATTTGGTGCTTCATCGTGAAAGTCTTGCTTTGGAAGAAAAAGCCCGATTGGAACATAGGTTGGCAATAATAGCTAGTGAATACGATACAAAGATACAGGAATTGAATAAAAAGACACAAGATGAAATTGAATTTAACACAAAAAAGTACTTAATGGAAATTAAAGAATTTAAAACAGAATTACAAAATAAGGTTGGATTATTAGAAAAAACTCAGAGAGAGCTGCAATTTACCGAAGAGGAACTGACTAAGACACGTAGGGACTCCACTGTGAAACTACTCGAATATGAACAGAAAGCAAAACGTTTGGAAGTTCAGTTACAAGTGTACGATGAAACCATTGCTAAGAACAGATATGATGTGGAAATTACACAGCTGAAAGAAAAAATTACTATTCTGGAAAATAACCTGGCTACTTCAAATGATAAGTTACAGAAATTAGAATGGCAGCATTCCACTAATGTAGAAGATCAGATTAAGAAAGCTAATCGTGATAATAAAGATACACTAAAACAATACTCTGACTTAGAAAGTCAATTATTAAAAACATTAGGTGACAAAGAGAACCTCATTTTACAGTTAAAGTCACTAAAACATGATTTTGACTCTGAAATACAGAAAAGAGATAATGAAAGGCATTCTCTTGAGAATAAAATTCATGAATTGGAAGTGAATCTCCACAAGGCAAATTGTATGAGAGAGTCTAAATTGAAAGATACTCTTAATGAAGAAATGAATCCTTATCTATATGATCTAAAAAATAAACATTCTTTGGATATAACGTAAGTAAATGTAACTGTTCAATATGTCAGAGTACCAGTACATGTGATGTTATTCTTACAGAGTAGAAAATAAATGTCATTGCTGCCAATCAGTATTGTCAGATCATGTGAATAAATTGCAGGAGAAGTTTGATAGAAAAACAAAGGAGTTAATCCATCATGTTCAAGTTCATCAGAAATTAAGTAAAAAGTATGAAAATTTTGTATCATGTAAATGAGTAAGTATACGTATACTTGAACTTATATGCATTTATACTTTAGATGGAGAGATGAAGTAAAATCATTGACAGTGAAGTTTCAAGGAAAAACCAAAGAACTTAGGAGTAAAATAAACATATTGCAAAAAGAAAATAATGAATTAAGTGAAGCACTATTAGCTTGCAAACAACAACTGGCACAACATACATTGCAAGATATACAAAGGTATGTTTGGTATATTCTTTGAATGTCAAAGCATTCTCAAATGACTATAAATATTTTCTTTCAGATTCAACACAAGTGAAATTAGGTGACAGTATTGTTTCCTATCTAAAACTATTCTACAGTCACAATTTGATTGTGTAAATATTATAAGAGAATGTCAATTTATTCACATTAAAAATACATTTTCAACTACACATATATCTTGTTTTTTTTTCTTAACATTGCCTATCTATTAATAGCACGGTGAACATTGTGCTTATTCTTTGGATATAATACAGGCTGTAAATAAACTAGGAAACCAATATAATGTTTCATCTTCACCTTGTTCATCCAACCATGCCAGTCCTTCTTTTACCATGTGGTCCAAAGCTTTCTGAGCACGATCTGCTTCCCACCGCAAGTCTTTGCATAGTGTAGACTTAGAAACATGTGCATTTCCAGATAAACTGGCTTGTTGCAATACAGCAGTGTGATCCATACTCAGTTCACCAGGAACTGATTGTACCAAGTGCTTACCTCTGCCAATTGGAACAATGGAAAATCCATTCCCAAAGATTTTCAGTTTCTTTGCTGCAGCTAATAAATCTTCATTTGTTATCTCTTGGTGTTCTTTTCTACGACCTCTTGCTTGAACCAACCTGGTTCTGAGTTCATCCAATGATATCAACCCACCATTTTTATAATTTGTGGCCATGCAAACTTCAACTATTTGTACTGCAAGTTCATAGTAAAAATCTCCTATGCCAAGAACTGACCAGAAACCTTTTCCTGAGGCCAGAGGGTCTACACCTATTGATGCACACATTTCAGTGAATTGCCGCCGAAAACGGGCATTCTTTTTAATTTCATTTTTATGTTTCGTTGCGAATTCTTCTAGGTTCATACGAAAAGTATCCATCTGTTTTGTCATTTGCTCAAATTGGTTCTCTTGAATCTCTGTTCCCTTGTCTTTATACTTCTCTTGCTCGAGCTTTTGTTTTTGAATCGCACCAACGCCCGCTTTTCGTCTCATCGTGTAATGTATAGTTTATAATACGTTTAATATTAGAAAATTTTAATGAAACCTCTTATATCGATACGATGCAAAAGTGTTCTTATCCAGCTTTCATATGATCAAGGTAACTGTCATGTTTCTTCAAATGTCGGTTCCTCTTTCGATAACATAATCAAAATCCAACATGTCGACACAAATAACTATTTCCGTATTATCTCCATGTTGATTCTCATACATTTTGTATTGTAAGCTTTAGATGTCAACTTTGAAGTACTAGCACAATATACATACTGTGGATACACAACGCGTTTACACAATAATTAGAGAATCGAGTGTAGTAGTACATACTCCATTCCGTGCGTCTTTGAACGTACTTCGACTTGCTTACACGAGGTGTCAGTTGGCTTCAGGTATCAAAATTTAAATATGGCGTCGGCAATGGAAATCGACGATGAAGAAAGTGATTTACCAACTTCGAGTAGCAGTAAAGGAGAGAAGAAACGTTTTGAAGTTAAAAAGGTTAGACGAAAAGCAGAGCAATATGTTCCATGAAACGTATACGTGTTATATAAATTGTAATAGTTTCATAATTAATTTTTAACCTTTGCATTGTCATTTACGTACACTACACTCACATGGTTTGTATTAAACTTTTATTGAAAAGTACGTTATTTCTTGTTTCAGTGGAATGCTGTGGCACTTTGGGCATGGGGTATGTGTACAGAATTTTGACTATTATCGTAAATTCGTAGCAAATATAATATGTTTATTTTGTTGTATTATTGATGAAATTTCTCGTTAATTATGTATTTACCTTTTTTACAGATATTGTTGTAGACAATTGTGCTATCTGCCGTAATCATATTATGGATTTGTGTATTGAATGTCAAGCAAATCAGGCATCAGCTACTAGTGAAGAATGTACTGTAGCTTGGGGTGTATGCAATGTATATATTGTACTCTTATACGTTTTATTACAATACACACTTAGTATTACAAAAGCGACATGATCTGACTTTTTTATTTTAACATTTTGATAATTTTCTTTTGCATAGCATGCATTCCATTTCCATTGCATCTCACGTTGGTTGAAGACTCGACAAGTTTGTCCACTTGACAATAGAGAGTGGGAATTCCAAAAGTGAGTAAATACTGTAACTTACAACAATACACAACAGGCTTTTTAAAGCTTTGAAAATTGTTTGTGTGTTTGTAGGAAAAGCACAAAGAAAGTCTAAGTTCCACTTTTTTTGCAGTATTTAATTTTTGTAATTGCTTTTGTTTCAGATACGGTCATTAACGAAGTGTATCCAACTACCACAAACAACAGAACCCTCAAGAATGCCAAAGCCGATGCAAGTCTAATTATACCTGAACAAAAGTAAACAAAAGCAAACGTAAACTCAGTGGCTCATTCATAAGCGTCGTAGCAGCACCTTGAAGGTGAAAAAAAACACAAAACTAAGGATCTGCTTCAAGTAAAGTGTTTGTAATGTTACTGCACCAGCATTGTCAAGTTTAAACTACTACACTCATTAATACTTTGCGCTCCAAGAATATTTTAATGCGAAGGACTAACAACTCCGTGACATTTTTGTGGTGCTGTTTCTGAGAATTAGAACGAAGATTTTTCTAATAAAAGCTTTTAAAACCTTAAAATTTATATTTTATTCGTTAATTTATCTTGTGTTACAATAAAAAAGACTTGCACTTTGAGGTGATGTGCGTCGCCGTATTAGCGTCGATGGAGTGCAGAGAGTTTAATTGGAAGTACTAAAAAGGTTACGAGCTACTAAACATTTTTTATTCTATCGGTTATTGCATTATATGATTTATAGTATTAAGTGCTCGAATAAACAAAAACGATTAAATTTACGATCGTCTTTAATTCAACCTAAATTATCCTGTGCTGCTACTCCCTTGTGATACAGAAATCAACTCAATTAATTACTAAACATACTATCAGCTTAAAACTTTTTGCGATATTAGTTCAAATTGAAAAAGACAGAGAGAGAAAGAGAGATAAAGAGAGTATCTTACATCGATGCATTTTACTGAATTCTCCAATGATCCGCTTACCTGATTTTAAGAAATACCATCCGGAAAAGTTTTGTCCTCTCCGTTCCCAAGACCGACGAACTCCCGTAATCTAGTCTTTCGATCAGCAATTTTTATTCTTTAAACAGATATCGGCTTCATCGAAATACAGCATACAACGTTGAGCAACGTTTCTGAATATAGGGTAGTCCAATCGATTACATCAAAAATCGGAATATGAAAAGTATACGATATTGTATAGGATGGACTCTCACTGGTGGTGCAATCGAAAGCAGAGTAATTAAAAAAAGTGAAAAGCCTAGAAATGCAATTTGTTTACGTAAGGCACTATTTTCTAGAAAATGGTTCCTGACCGTTTATCTCAAACGTATGGAATCCTACTTACAGTAAGTAGAAACTACACCTACTGATCAGACAGTTACCCAATTCCTATTCAACAGCACGTGTACCCAATAAATTTCCACAGTCATTCTCTTCGAAAACACTGCTTTATCTGTACACAATTTTATTTTAAATTTCTAACTCATTCTTTCACGAAGAATCATCTCTTTGCTAATTATACCACCAATACTAGAGCGCCTTGTATGTACAGAGCCACGGGTATCAATACCGAGTTCTTAAGATCTAGGTCTTAAAGGGGACTAGACGTAATTATTTTTTTTCTTTATTCCGCGGCGTTCCGGTAAAATCAATCTCGCCGAAGTAACTGTGACAGATTCCCCCTAAGAATAGCTTACTCACGTTGCATCGGGCTCGCCACGGTGATCCTTACCCCTCACCCTCTTATCATTAATCCGCGCTATTACGGTTGCGTGGATTCTTAACGAGACATAACAGCCGCGCCGTGACCCGTGACGTCATCGTTGAGGCCAATCGATCGCTTTGAGATCATCTCGAATCCCTTTTCCAGTTCTAGTGTATTCAACGCCGGGTTTGGGGCCAATACTTATCAGACCGGCAGAACGTAGGAACCCCGACGAGCTGGCTTCTAATCCGGGCATACAGCGAAAATTACATCCTCGCCGAGCAAGCGACATTCGCACGATAAGCTAGAAGGAGAGAGAAAGAGAGAGAGACAGAGACAGAAAGATGGAGTGAGTCAGAACGCAAACGGGGGTGAAGAGCATTAGCAAGCCTTTCTAGCTTTGATTTTTCCTCGTCTCATCTGCCTATCTTCCCTCTCCCCGTAATTTTTTTTATTAAACTCCATCCGTCGCGAAAGAAAGCACGATATCATAGAAATAGGATTCGTTTAAACTTTAATTTCACGGGTGCACAGCACCTGTGCTTCAATAAATCGCACTAACAAACAATGGTACGCCAACATATCGTTCCCCTTCTGCATCTTTTAATCGCGCGCGAGCTCGACCATCGCCCAGAAATTCGATTTTCACGACGCTGGTAAATATTTATAATTTAAATATTTAAAAGAGACGGTTCAATTTAACCGGCGCTACGGGAGGCAGGGGTGATGTGGGTCTTGTATAATACAGCGCATCCTGAGTGTTGGATATCGAATGATTTCCAGAGAACAAGTTTCGCGCAACACACACACACACACACACACACACACACTGTAACTCGTTGCCAGCTCAAAATATTTACCTGGCCGTGAGAGATGGAATATAAATACGATTTGCATCCCTCGTCCCCGTTCTAAAGGGCGATAGGGGGATTCGGTTAGGGGAACAGCCACAGGGCGGGTTGAAGGGGGCTCGAGAGGAGCGTTCTGGTAGGTGGTGAAAGGGGTAGAGGACGGGAGTACGAGTCGCGAAGGTCTCATTTCCGCCGGAAACAGAGAGGTTCCCTCAGCCCCCCCTACTGCTGCGAATAGTCACCCTCCGGGGCCTCTCGTCCCTCCTTGTCTCGTCCAGATGGCGGCAGAGTCCAATCGAATTAAATACATTCCGAAGGATCGTCCAATGGACGACCTCCGGTGGTGGTTTTTGTCTGGTGGTTGTTCTTGCCCAATACCACTGTCATTTCTTTTGCCTCTGCTTCCCCCACCCCCGCCAGTGTTGCACCGACAGGACCGAATAATTTGCTTCTCCGATAATTGTTTTTCTTTTTCCTCCTTTTTCCGCTCGTTCCCCTCTACCCCTCTTTTTTTTTCCATTCAAGAGTGCTGAGCTATACCGTTGGCGTGGCGAGCATATCGAAACTTCATTAAAGACCCGTGTAATTAGGTCGAGAAGGAGAATCGCCGCTGACCCTTTGTACGACTGCTTTACGCGTCTGTACTCACGAGATAATTTTGTTCCAAACGCTCCACGATTTCACGTGTCAATACGTTTTTCGTGGTGAACCTACGGGGCGGATGGAAGGAAGTGGAAGAAGACGCGAACCGTTTACACGAGTCACTTTCGCGGACGATTATTCCGTTCTGTTCATCGGTGCAAAGCGTATTTCAGATCGTTGTGGAATCGAGGCTCTACACGGCTAGTTGTACGTTATATTATTTAAAAAAGTTTCCCCGACCGGGATAGACCATCCATTATCCGCAACTCCGATAAATCCCCGGCCAGCCGCCCCAGCTCCTTGTGTTTGGCGGATATATCAAGGTTTCCTCGTCCCCGTTCCTGTCGCGCCGCGTTTTCTATTTCTTTACCACTTGTTCCCTTCTCCATCACGGACTTTAAGACTTGACGGGGGTTACACAGGAGGCCCAGACAGATAAACCCGATAAATTGCGAGATTTTACCATGGGCAGTTCAAGTGTCCGATACGTCGGTACTTGGATCGACACCGACAGACTTGATTGTTTCTGACAGTCAAGGGAACGTCGAATCATCGGCAGTTTATTGTTTACGTAAGGCTCTGCGTACAATTCGGTATAATAAGTATATTAGTTAAATATTAAGAAAGATAGAAGTTATTAAAGCTTCTACCCTTATTATACAAAATCATACACAGGGCCTTACGTAAACATATAAACCGCTGGAAATTCGACGTCTTTTTGATTGTCAGAAAGAATTCTTCATTCGATCATCTTGATCGTTAATAATAAAGGGAATGAGGAGCCGTGTGTAAATCGAAATATTACATTGTTAGCGGATCAGTAAATTTGATTCGCGACTTTCGCGAATCGAACGTTTCGAATAAATTCTTGAAAACGACCCTGGACGATCGCTTTAACGCTCTCCTACATCCAGCCGGCGCAGGAAATCTAAGATTTCTCTTCGACATCCCGAGATTTCCACGCGTGTGCTACATAGTTGTGCTTGGTAGTGGTGGGTGGTTGTAACCCGGCGAGGTAGGAACGGTAAATCCTCGTTAAATCCGCAAAAAAAAAAAGAACACAAAACATACGGGCGAACGTTAGGGATTGGTGACGCGGGTACTAACACCTTCCTTCCTTCGTTCCTTCTTCCAAGATTCATGCGGTCCTTGCAAAATTTTTTTAAAAACATCATCACATATCACGAGCACTATTTTACACATAACTTATTGAAAAAATAAAGGAATTAAAAGATTAAACATCGAACGTTGGTAAATTAAAATTCTTTCCTTTCTAAAATTCCAATTTTATTGGAATACTAGATATACGATTAAAAAAAAGGGACTACCTATACGTTTAATTTGTTACCTTCAATATGACTCTATTATAGATTTTCCTGCACGCAACGGAACTTTTATATGAAACCTGTACATCGGTGAACTAGCAAAAACCGCTGTAATATGTACGGACAAATACATACATGTAACTTTAAATAATAAATAAAGTAAATATAGGCGTTCCGTCCATCCACGACAAGCTGGTTGTGGTGGAGAGGGAGGGGAAAACTTATTTACACGGGGTCTCCGTATTCGAAGCCCGAAATCACGACTTACGGAAAGCGAGAGAACAGTAAGTGGAGCATTAAGTTCGAAATTTCGGAACACGACGTACACGAACGGGCCGGTATATACGGTATTCTTGGTGGACGAGTCCGAGAGCACTCGATAGGCTAAGTAAATCAGAGGCCTTTGGTCAAGAGTAGAGCCTCCACTCCGTTCAGAGGTAGGGGTGGCGGGTGAGGGGGTGGGTGGGTGAAGCAATAGTGGTGGTAGGAGCAACAAAGGGTTGGCTAAGAGCCTCTTCACCGACCGCTCGCTCGCTTCCTCCGGCCACCACGAAGCATCACCTACTTCTCGCTGCAGCGAGGCTTGCTTGGCCTCCGTGATGTGATTGCTACCGAAATGTGTTTACCGTAAACCGTATCAAACTGTCGACGTCCACCATCGCCGGTTACCGTGTCTTCCCTCCCTCACCTCCCTCTCTTCCATGTACATCGATAAAAGTAAAACGCACCTCTCTCTATATCGATTCGGCAACCATGCCCCGCGTCGCGTCGCGTTCGTTCACGGTGTGCTCGGCTCTCTTTGAAGCGCCCCCTTTTACCCTTTGTCTCGTGGCCGGCTTAGAAGTTACGTGCGGTGGCCAGGTGGCGGGCACCACGGGGGAAGTTTCGTCCCCCTATGTCCCTGTGTGTAACGTTGTTATTTGCGAAAGGTCGCCCCCGCTTTCTTCTTTTTCTTCTTCCTTTCGTCGCTATCCCTCCCACCCGTCTCTCCGCCCTTTTAATAGCTCGGTAATTAAAGGGAAGGTCGAAGAGTAATGCAATTTCGTTGCGCTTGTTCAAGTTTGCGCTCCAGTGTGGCGCAACACGGTCGTTAAAAGACACTGGCACGCTCGTCTGTTAACATCCGAAACCGTCGTGCCGTCACGGGTGTGGGCCAGATATCAAGGGGGTACGTAAAAGGTTCAGCAAGGTGTGTGCATGACGCTTGTCGACCGACACTTGTAACACGTCTTCCATATCTCGAATAGACATATGGCGGAGTGAAATCGATAGAATATAGCGAGTGGCATCGACACGTGGGTGATGATCGTCCACGCCCAAACGCCGAAGAATTGCAGGTGATCTGGACGTACGCCAGCTCGAGACTTCTCCAAGGTGTTCACGGTCCACAGGGCGATGTTGACGACTATCAGGAATGTGATCAACTCCTTCCCGGGCTTGTCGTTCCTCGAGCAACGTCTTCCCCACGCGATCTACGTATTACGGGGTGAAGAGGGGGGGGGGGAGAATTGAAAGTACTAGAGTAAATGATTAGCTCCGACGATGAATCGATGATACGGGAAGGGTACTCACTTTAATGAGCAAAGTTTGGCTAGTGCTCTGCATCAGAGCCAATAAATCCGTGATCAACGACAGCACCCACGTCGGCCCCATAGTTAATATATCGCCGACAACGCCAAAAAGGCAATGGAGATACACGCCCGCTTGAGCTGCCGCCAATAACGTGGTGTCCAGGTCCGACGGTTTGATTATTTTTTGCTGGAGCGATTGTAGCTTCAAAGTTCCGGCGATCGAAACGAGCATACCTGGTAAAGTTTCCCCGTTAACGAGCACTTTGTCCGTATCGGTGCCACCCACGCGGTGTTCGATGGGGTTACCTTACCTAACGCGAGTATGGTCGCGTCCAACGCGGTGACCTGTACGATCGCTATGTGCATTTTGGCCTCCTTCAGGACGAAGAACATGATCAGACTCAGCACCGTCGTGGCGACGATCAAAATCCCGCCGAAAAGACCTCTGGAAATGTTTCAAAATGTACGAAATGGGTGTTATGGGATGGGTCTGGATGTCTTAATAGCTACCACGGTCGGTTAAACAATTTTGCATTCATTGTTATCCCTTTCGTCACTCGACTCCACGACTTTTCCTATAATACACGTACAATCAATTTTTCAATATCTATCCCTCTTCTTATTCCTCTTTTTTGAGAAATATATCGTTCATTTGCTTCAATAACAACGTAACTAAAAAATCACGATTTTAGGGAAAACGAGTTTGAATGTTTTGATCTCAATAATTTTGTACGAACATCATATTAAGGTGACTATTCTGACGTGATAAGTTTTGGAAGTTCACTTACAGGATTTAACCGATGAAAACAAAATTTTTAGTTATGTCAGTGTTATAGCAAAACGAATGATATGTAGCCTACCCTTATCTACCGCGATCGATCATCTGATCGGTTGAAAAATTTGTGTCCTTTTATAACGTTATCTGCTCTGAAGTCTCGATTCTAAAACTATTGTTGGATTAGAAACTAATGTTGGATTCCTATTGGACCATCCGGTATATTAATTGTCGGTAGGTTTAGTGTTAAAATCTGAATGATACCGCATTAACAAATGAACCGTGGCAGGCTTATCGATTCCATCTGATATTCCCGTCTGACCTGTGAGAGCTGCTGCAATCTATGCTAAGGTGATAGGAGGATCTCGTCGAGCACTCGCCCTTTGCATCGATCTTCTCGTCCACCCTCTTCCACATCTCGAATAGTATCACCGCGCAAATTAAACTGAATTCGATTGTGCACGGGAAAAGGAACGGGCTCGCGTCTCGCAACAATGATTTCAGGATCCCGACCTCGTCGTCGTGCGTGTGGCCCAGCTGTTCGATCTCGTTTTGCGTCTCCTCGACTAGAGCCTTCGAACAATACAAACGGAATTACTAGAAGAGCACGGCTGTGAAAAATTCACGCGGTCACGCGTGCATCCGAGAAACGTCGAACACAGAGAGAACGTTGTCGAGAGGACGCGCGGAATTATTGTTAATATCTGCCGTGTTTCCGAGCCGCGAGCTGGATCAAAAGCCCCCGATATCGCCTCGTGACGCCCGGAATAATTTCGACGTTGATAAACACAACTACTTCGATTTTACCGGGAAAACGGGACGCGGGCATCTGCACGCCGCTGGCACGGAATACATTTCCGCAAATATACGAATAAATATACCGCTCGACTTTGGTGAATGTTAAATACAATATTATATCGTGAATGGAAATGTACACGCGAGCTGATAGAAAAGAGTCGAGAATCGATGGATTTTTGACTCGAACGTGTGGTCGCGCATTTTGTGATATTTAGTGTCAAAGTACTTGCAATCGCTTGTGAAAACTAAAAGTGTTTCATATATGGTCGTACTAGTACATATTAATACTTTTAAAGTTACACGGCACCCTCTATAACTGCACTTATACTACTGGCATATTAACTAGTCGCGGAACTGAAATTTCGCGTCAAAAGATAAACTGAATCCATTGATTGCAGTGATCCTAGGTATAGTGTTGTTCACGTCTGCCAAGGACATTTCGGAAATGTGTTTGGTGCATGATCAATACCGTATATACTGTATAATGCGGATACTTATCAACGTTCCTCGAAAGTTTAATACCAAACGAAACTAGTTTTGCCAGACAGGTATGGAATACGCAGGTGTATACGTCATTTCCATAAAATATGCGAGGTTTGTATGCTAAAGTCTTTGCACAACAAATCGTGTACCAACTAACATCGTTTTATTGAAGCACCGTACCAGATATTACGGTCTGAAGAACAAAAGTATAAATTATTTAAACCCTATCTTATCAGCAGCGAGCCAAAACCGAACAAGTCGACGTCTCGTTATCTGGAACAAGTGTATTTACCATTTCCCGGCTTGAACTACTTTATATTGCATATTGTATGCACTGGGTAATACACTCTTCGTATAATACAATATTTATGCAGATACTCTACTCTCTGATTCGCGTGCGTTGCTATAGATCGAAGATTATAATTACCTCGAACGAAACATCAATTTATCAGCCATTTAAGAACGGCAAGACCCTTTACATATAGGATATTTGACAAACAGGTTTCAGTTTTTCTTTTTAATTCTAATATTATTTACGAATATTAATTTTAATATTCTTATCTCAATATCTTGTTGTTAGCATCATGTCTAGAGCTAAGTCTAATAACAACTTTAAGCTATACCATCTTCTGCACGTCTGTAGTAAGTACTTAAATATGTTGTACTTGTTTTACCTATGTTCACTACGAACTCGCGATTTGCCACTGCTTGTTGATAAACAAATATCGCGAAGCTCGTTGGAGAGTAGATGTCGAGGATGACGGTGTGATGTGATTTGAATGTGAGTGGACACAACTTGGTAACTCACTTCAACTGATATAACAAAATTTGATGTGTGAGTGTCTACTACTTGTGTTTTGTATGATTGTTAAGTGTGTTCTCTCTGATGGATGAATGTATTCTCTCGTCTGTTGGTGTTCGTAGTCATTCGTTAACGTAGTTCAGTTTGTAATTGGTTGTATGTATTTGTGTGGCGGCGGAAGTGAAGAGTTCTGGTTGGTCTATGTTTCTGTGAGTATGGTACTATAATCTAGATGAAGTGGGGTTTAACGTGTATATTGTTTTCTGGGATTTTTGGAACTCAGCAGTGGATTATATTAAATAATTGCCTTGAGGACAATGAGTAATTTGCACTTGATGTGTCGTTATCCATGAATCCTCGTTTATGACGGTTTATCGACCGTATTGATGGCCTGAGACGCGAAGATACCGTTGACCCTTGGCAAAAAACCCTTGAATCACCTCACGAGTCTCCCATATCCAGGTCGTTCAACATTTTTGTTACACCCTGTATTTAATTCTAACTTCATTGCTCTTTTGCATTTTGATTTGTAATAAAATCATTATCACGATCACAATTATGATTTCTCTAAGAAGGTGCTTAAGAATTCAACTGAGTTCGAAGTGTTACCTGCAGCCATTCGCAAAGATTGTTCGCGATCATATGCATCAGGCCCAACTTCGCGAAGGCGGTGTGCTTGGACAACTCGAGGCTCTTGCTGTTCAGAAATATGAAGTGCATCTGAGCGGTGACCAACAGCAGCCTGGCACCCGGTGTAATCGCCCTGAACGGGCCGGAAGCTATTTCCGCCCCAATTTGCAATCCCGTAAATACTAGAGAGCCGGCGCCAAATCCCACTGCGCCGAGCCTCAGACAAAAGCTGCCGTACTGTTGCGTCTGTGGGACAAAGTTTCATTCGACGTGTTGCGTTCACGAGTGTCGCGTGCTAATTAGAAAACGCTGAACGAGCCACGAATTCGTACGATCAACGAAAAATATTCTGTGAAAAATATTCGGTGGTAGCAAGATAGAATGCTATACGTAATTAGGCTGCGATCCAAAAGCTGTATAAGCTTTAGAGATACTTCCAAATATCTCTGATATTTTTTCGTACGCGAAGATTTCGCGAGAAATAATATACCAGTTTCAAGACGTAATTATAGTATCATAATGATAGGAGTTAATAAGATTGGACCGCGACACTTATTGGCACCTTCTTTACAAGTGAGGCTTTTAATCCAGATTCACTGGGCATAAAATAAGTAGGTATTACCTGTAAGTAGATTCATAGAATATTAATACGTCGGACATTGATTTAACTCTTTTATAAATTAACATGGGAGTGACTCGAGCAAGATGGGCACATCTGAACTATCTTATATTTTTCTATCTTTAGTTTAAGTTGATTGTCGCATATAAACATCTATATCCCTGTTATACCGACTCATAAAATAGTACGTCTTGTTCTTGAAATTAACATGCATTAACTTTAAAATTGATTTCTGTATTTTCGTTACTGTTTGGCAGTCGTTTTATTTCTCTGTGAATTTCATGGTAGGTCCAGATCCAAACTTTTCAACTCTTATTACTACAACTTACTTGAAACTAATCCTTCGGTCGAATCGAATTTTTGAAATTAATCCTTTGGTCTACTAGAATTTTATAACAGATAGTACGATCGAACACTATAGAATTCGTAGAACTATTACCTGACCGATGTTCTCGCGATTTCCATTCTCATTGAACGCAAACGTCTGCTGCTTCTTCTGGTTCTTCTGCGTCAAGCTCCTCACAGCCTTGTCCCTCAAAACGATCACGTACATCGCGACCACGAAAGTGACGCTGACCAAATAGAGATAGAGGTAAAATCCCTGCAAAAACAAACAAACGAGGTTACTGCGTCCTTTGAAAGGTACCAAGCGAATGGAATAACCGGCCACGGACGTTTTCTCGTTAGCAAGCCACGTTATTCGGAAAAAACTTCTCGCCTGCGTGTTCCCCCGACCTTTTCCCTGATTTTTAACGAATCGCCGATGAAACTCGAAAGGAAAGCGAGAAGCCTTGGTCACCTGATTCATAAAAGGCGGTACTCTATCGGTCACGCTGGCTGTGACCGGCACCGCGATTCCGATCACGATCAGCAATTTCGCGTAAAGGGTGCTCATGACCGATACCATTTCCGAGTGGCATTTTCTCCTACCCATCGGCTTTGATCGTTGGTCCATGATTTGTTGTTTACCTGTCGAGCGAAAGTTTCGTTTGTATTCTAACGATTTCACGATGTTCTGTGCCAGACTGCACGAGACACTCACTTCTCGTAGCATCCAGAGCGTTCACTGATACACAGGCGGTGTTAACGGGCGCCAGGGGCAAGAAGTTCGGTCGTTGCTTTTGCGGATCGTTGTCGTTCTTCTCTGGATGACTTTGGTTGTTCAACGCCAGAGTCTTCAATCCAGGCGGTTGACCTGTCAAGAACTCCTGATCCTGAGGTATACACGACGGCAGGGACATGTTGCTACCTATACCTGAAATCAACGCCCTGTCGATACGGGATAAGTACACGTATCTTGTATGTACGGAGTCTGTTTCAATTCTATTGATCGAAATGTATCTGGACCCCAGAGCCAGAGTGTATTAAGTCTACGGTTTTTAAAAATTATCAATTTTTTCAATGGTACAAATTATTGGTTTAGTTTTTAATATAATTGTGTGCATATGATATTAAGTTCATTTCTCGTTCCAAGTCAAACAGTATAAAGTCCAGGACATAGGGTATTTAATGCAATGTTCACCATTTTTATATATCGAGACTTGTCTTAAGGGGTTACGAAAAAGCTAAAGGCCGAAAAAGAGTGATATTTAGGAATTTTTTTCTCAAAAACTGTAGATCCTTTTTAAAGAAATATTACCGTATTTGAAACAGTGTATTTTAGAGAGTTGTTACAATTTTTTTTATTTAAAAATATTTATCAACAAACGAAGTTGTGGTCGATCTCCCAAAGGTCCTCTCAAAAAAATGCATTTTGCGGTGATCGTTGCTGCTCTGTATTGGAGCATCAGAAAATAAAAATTCAAGCAGATTTATTTATAATTGAAATTATTTTACAGTTTTCGAGACAAAATAAAAAAATCACTATCTTCTTCGGCCTCCTGACTAGGCCATTTGGTCCATTTAATAGTTCGAAGGAGTCATTGTTTTCCGTTCGATTCTCGTTAAGTGGTTCCCAAAGTACAAAGTTTTTGCACCTTTGATTTACTCTCGTTTAAAGTTTGAAAACTATGACTTAATACACTCTGGCTCCGGTGTTCCGATATACATACACACGTACACGCGAGCGCATCGTTTACACCGATGCTATTTAGCCGCGTACCAGCGTCGCTCTCGCACCGATTCACACGGCACGGTATATATAAATTTAACTGAACCCGTTGAACCGTCCGATCGAAAATATTTCGCTCGAAAACTGGATTCAATGATCGTAAAATTATACGCATTTTGCGTCGACCTGCCGTATTCACGGCGAACCACCGCGCCCCGGGTGTACCGTCGAATTTCGGCCCCGGCGAACGTTATTAATAACGACGATGACGATTCCCGATTATTTCACGGACGAACGGAAAATACTGGCAGAGAATCCAGGGGAACGAGCACGATATTTACCCGAGGAGGCCTCTTCTATGGTTGATAACGGCAGTCAGCGACATGCTTTGTCGACGTAGATGCGACGTTATACCCCGGGGCGATGCGAAGTAGTCTTTTCCATCAGCATCCGGCGATAGGGTTAACGTTGGCATTGCGTCGCGGTTCTTCAACTCGGAACTTGAAGGTATTTCGATCAGAATCGCGGAATTTCCATGTAAATCTGATTTCGATGGTTACTTACTTGATCGTTATATTCGACTGAGTATTATTCATAGTCTATCACCCGTTGCCTCGGATCGATGAAATGTGATCAGCTGAAAAATAAAAAAAGACGAAGTGTTCGCGATCGTAACATCCATCTAGTTGTTGCTGCATATTTTTCGAGGTCGCCGAAAATACACGTAACACCGAGACATACGCCGAGAAACTTTCTTTACTCTTTCTTCTCGCAAACGTTGCGTAACAATCGTTTTGGTTTATTCACCGGCAATGCGTCAAACTTTCCAGTTCGTTCCGGGTTTGAGCGAACCCGCCGTGTGCTGTATTTGCTCGGCTGTTCTCGCGGGGAAAAACTTGGAAATTTATTCCCGGGGAAATTCGCCGGCGTTTTGAATTTTTAGTAGGCTGGCCAACTTCTTTTCCTCGCGGCGACCCCGGCGCGCTTAAACGCCTAGAAGAAAGTGATTTCGCTCAAAGCTTAACGTAGACGTTGCACGCGGGCCTGAACGATAATTGTCCGCGACACGTTTACGGCATCTTTGATTACTTCGTTGCGACTTGTATATTTATAAAACTGTCGGATGCAATCATAATGCAATGATCTTCAAGATGTCGATTACAATTTCCTTTACTGGAAATATCTCGAATCTTTAAATGCGAGCAAGCGTCGTCAATTAATAATTACGAGAACAAAATAACAGAGTTCAAATGGATCACTATAAATCTCTACTCTATGAGGACTTCTGTTTTGAGGCTACATAGTAGGTCCGAGGGGACCTCTCCTCAGGGATACTGAAAAACTTTGGAGGAATTTCCTCTAATGCCCCCAGCGATCATTGGAAAAACTTTCCTCAAATGCCCTAGAGAAATGACCTCGAGGGATCTCAAAATATCTTCGAGGGGTCTTTCTAAGGGACCTCAGATACGATTCGGGAACTCTTTAAGAAGCCCTACAGGTCCTCGGAGATAGCTCTCTGAGGTGCCCTTAGTATCTGGACCAGGTTGCCATTAGATAGGTAGTTTGAATCTGCCAAAGTACAGGCTCGAGATTCTCGGAGCTCCTTTGATTGTGAGCCCTGGCAGTCTCTGGTGAGCCCAGAAACCCTATACAGATTGACAATATTCTGCGATTCAAATGAAAATGAATATCTCTGGCCTATTTCATAATCATGGCGATTGTCTGCACAAGAACATTCGTGAAAAAGATGTTATGTATAGTAAATTATTATAAACATTTAGTATGGAACTTCTGCTATACCACGGAATATTTCTGTTGTTATTTGATCTTGTTAAATATTCTATTCTTGACATGGGAAGATTAATAAAAAATACTTTTGGCATTGATTTGTGTTTCTAGTGTCCTTCTAGTATTCTTGTATCTTATTTAACTTAATATACATTAAAATTTGGTAGGATATATTCTTTATAGAAAATTATTGAAATGGAAAAAAATATAAAATTTCATCGATATACTATGTACTAAAGAGAACCCAGATATAATGTAGTTTGTACATTTTTTGTTCAAAATCATGTTACCTTTATGTCGAAATTTACAGGAAACAAGTTTGAAATAATTCGAAACAGTTAACTCTGGGTATATTTGCTATTCTTTTAAAAATACATGATATATGACTTATGGAAAAAAACTTATTCAACTCACTTTTAAAAGGACAATAATACCATCTAGACTAACTAGGGAACGATTACTCATAACTAGACTGCGGATTTTTATGCAAAATGGTATTTTCTAACGCAATTCATATAGAGAAGAGCAAATGTAGGAACTTGTATCTTTTTTTTTAAGTATCATATTAGGTTCGGAATAAACTATAATAGAAAAGTTTTGTTTTTTACTCTATTTTACAGACCTATACAGGCTATAAATGCATAAAATCCGCAGTCTACTTATAACATTTCACGACTTTACCATAACTTGTAAGGTCAAATAATTTTTCTATATTAATTTCCAAACGTATTCAATATAAAGGGGTTGTCGAAACCAAACTAGAAACAATTTTTTCCCCGTACCCTAATGGTATTACCCTGTAAAAAACACGGAGCTCACTCGTGCACACACAGCAGTGGATGAATTGAAATTTGAACTTTATTGAAGGCGATTCCCCTGACTTTGTGCGCGCAACATTGCCGACAGCGGCTGTCGTGTAACCGGACCAACTTCCCCAACTTTCGTTTGAATCGCGTTAAACGAATCCCGGTGAACTGTGTGACGCTATCGGCGCGTCAGTCGAGCGTAACGTTCCGTTGCGAGTTAGGCGTGGTAATGCCATCGGTGTTACGCACACCGGGCCTCCCGACTATTCCCGGCGACGTGAATTGCACAAAAGCCACTTCGAGCACGCCTTTGCGGAAGGTAAGCGCTTTCATGCGTCCGTCGACGGTGCCGGGCGTCGCGTCGTCACGACGAAATCTCGGGTAACGAGTATCTTTTGTAGGCTCCGGTCGTTTCCGTGCGTTAGACTTAAACAATCTGCTGTGTGCACGGGAACAGTGAACGCTGATGGAAAAACAATTGGCTCACGAGCAGACTCGAACGGTATTTCGTGGCCGTAATTAGCTAATATCACTTGTTACAATTTGACACTAAAGAGTTGAAAATTTCGACGGTGATTTGAACGATATTCTCGAAGTTACCTGGCGAGGGTTGTTTCTCATACTGATGTTTCAATTGCTTCTATTACAATTTTATTTCTGAATTTTTTACGATTATACGTTTGACATTAGATTGTTTAATTTCATTGCAAATACCGTAGAACTCTATTTATTGGGACGAAATTTTAAGTAGTGCCCGATTTACTGAACTCCTGAGTTCCTATTATTTGAACTACTGACGAGTGTCACTCGAGTTATATGAACATCTGCAAGAGCTATAGTAATGTCTTGATGAATGCGACGTACTCTGGTCCTCTTTGGAGCATTCGTGGCAAGACGGAAAGGTTTTCAGCCCCTCATAAATTTGTTTTTCGCTCGAAGCAGAGCCTCTGCTTAGATTCTGTTTACTCTGTTTTGATTGGCTACACGGGGAGACTCCCCCAGTGGTGGGAATAACGCCGTTGCTTGTGTCGCATTCATCGAGGAATCACTGTAGAATGTAAACCAGTTGATCAACGCATTAAGAAAATCACAATCATACTTTATTACTTTGCAATTAGGATTGACTCACTATCAAGCATTATAAAATTAGTATTATAAATTTATTTCCAAAATTAGGTTTGAAACATTACTGTAAGCAAAATAACGAGCAAACGTATGATTTAATTTACTTCGTCGAACGTGCACTCCAGTTATTTGAACGAAAAGTCATAGGTAACGTGGAAAATCGAAAATGGAAATTAAACTCATTATATGAATGATCCAGTTACGTGAACTCTATTGTCCCCTGACGGGTTCACATAAATCGAGTTTTATACTATAGATGATTGAACTGCTTTAATTTCTCATGTACATCATTTGCACTACTCTAAACTCACTTCTGCACAATTAAAGAGATTTCAACGTCCTCCGTAATAAAATACACAGTTCGAAAGAAATATTTCCGTGTAATCTCGGGCCAAGAATTCTTAACAGAGTTTTCAGCAATCAACAGTGTTTCCCAGTTACGAAAACGCCAAGCGTGTCACGGGCACGTCGACGTACGATCAACCGTAATGCATAATAGAACAGACGCGTTATTACCTTTCACGTTGACGAATTATAGCCTGATATCGTTTCGAAGCGTTACAAATTGTCGCTTTGATTAACGAATCGGGGGATACAGTGGGCACACAGATGACACGTGGAATCTAGAACAGTTGTTTCACGAGCGATCAACCACGCGGAGAGGAACGGAGGGGTCCAGGATGGTCGATCGAACAGAAAAGAAATGTCACACCGAGTGTATCGAAACGTCAAGGTAAACCGATCGAAATCCTTCGACACTTATTAGGATCCCTCTCTGGCGACACGTCAATTGGACGAACGGTTCAACGAACACTCGTATACGCGGATATACGTCGAGAACGAGGACGCGCGAGGATCAACGATTTCGGCCGCGGTCGGCACACTTCTGACAGAGGGAAAAAAATGCGTCCAGTTGCACCTCATCTCTGGAAGTTCAAACGACAAACAAGCGTCGTCGATATTGCCTGTGAAATTAGCGAGAAATTGCGAGAAACGTCAAGAATCTTTCGGTTGTTGTGAACGGAGGAGTAAACTGTTCCGTTCGTATTATACATAATGCATCGATGGAGTCGTGCATTAAAGACTGTACAATATTAATGGGAGCGGTTCAGGATGTAATTCGTAGCCGCCGATTGTTTATTTATGCGGAATATTTCGAAATGCGTAACAGCGCGGGTAACGCGGCCGATTCCAGCGCGAGCCGAAGGTATTTGCATTTGTATTGCTTGATTACCTCAGAATTCAATTTCTGGCCCCGCAGTTTTAGGAATAATTGAAGCAAGAAATGACGTATATTTGCGCGACGGGGAACTGGATATTTTCATATCCCCCGGTAAAGCCGTCGATCGTTCCGTAGGCGTGAGCCAGTACAACGGGGGTGTGGTAGGACGATTATAAAATTATCGGGTACTGTGTGCCGTGGATCGGTCGGCCCGGGGTTAAAACCATTCGTCGAATCTGCGTTGATCAGAAAACATGTAATCCTCTTGTAGGTAGACGTTTGCGTATCTATAAGTTCTCATGATAAGAGGTGCAATGAGGGGTGGGGGGGTGGGGGGTGAGGGTGTAGCAAACGCGTTTCGCATAATTTTATGGGACTTTTGCAACCAGCCCCGGAGAGTTTATAGGCTGATTTTCTGAAGCGTAATCCGTACCAAACGAGCCCCGGTTAAGTGGAGTATAAGCCGTTAATGAAGCCAGTATCATCATCGACGCGGAACGCCTCGATGTGTTTGCCGAAACAGTTCGAAAATTTAGACCGATCCTGCTAAAAGGCACTAATTGCAGGCGCAGCCGATAATAGTTAGTACCTGGTGCCTAATTACCGTACCGATGTGCGCGTCGATCGATCCGACAAATCCTGATTTGCATCGGTG